CATGAGGAGAGGAGCATAGGAGAGGGCCAGATGAAGATAGAAAGAGAAGAGGAAGATGAGCATAGGAAAAGCTAGGGACAGAAGATAGACTACAGAAATCGACAGAAGCTAAGCTGGCTGCCAGGTTCTATAGCTCTTTTGCTGGGAGCTGTGCAGATTGGAAAAGAGGCATTGCTTTTCTGAGAAAATAATGAATGGCTGGAGAAAGGCTGAGTCAGCTGAGAGAGAGCCAAATGAAGCCAGATAAGCTGTGGAACTACTAAAGTCTGATTTTAGGAGAGCGGAATTCTGGTGTTATGTGGAGAGCTGTCTGCATTTATATTACATTAAGTCTCCATCTTCATCTATATTGCCTTAAATCCAAAAATCTTTATAAAGAGTTGGGAACCTATTAGGGATACTTATGTTTCCCTTTACTGACCTCTGTAGTTTGAGATTGTGGATGGTAAGGGAAGAGATAGCCTTTACAGCTCCTTTGAGCTATGCTGATATATTTTGCTAAAATAATGTAACACTTTCTCAGAATCCTGTCAAAAGTGGTGGTGTGCTAAAAGAACTTGACAATATGTCAACATCCTGAGAATGGTAGAGAATCAGTTCTACCCATGAGAACTGTGAAGATCAGAAGGGAAGTGGAAAATAGGGAAGCAGTTTTGCCTAGCAGGTGAGGGAGAAGATTGTTCTCTAAAGAAACCAAGGATATCGATAAACTTCTGCCATCCAGTCATTAGTTGACCCAAGCACATGGTTCCCTTCTGGTTTTGTGTTTGAGAGTCAATGGCGTTATTGTGTGACTGATTTTGTATAAATGGAAAGAACACTAGTTGGGGCTTAAGGGTTATGGTAACAACTAGTAGGAGTGTATTCTTCCCATAGTAGCATTATTCCTAGAGCCCTAAACGAAAATTAATTGTGGCTATATGATCATGACTGTGGCCAAACCCCACTGGGAATTGCAGACCTTGTAGCATAAGTGCATGTTGGATGAAAAAGAATGGGGTACAGAGTGCCAAGTTAGGCACACCCTTGAGCTACACTTGGAGAGATCTGTGATGACTTCATTAGTGTGGGCAGTTTCTCCAAAGGTATAAATGATAGCTCATCCTGTGTCTTCTAATTCTGTACAGTTCTTGTGCATGCCCTTCCATAAAATTTTCACATGGAAGGATGCCATACATTGGAGGCCTTCCTATAAGTCTTTTAATATATCATGGCTTGCATTTCAACACTTGAGGCATCCTTCAATTTGCTTTTACTACATTAGCATCCTAATTCTTGTTCTAGTCATACATACTCTAAATGATTTTTGTCAAATTTGGCACATTGAATTATAATTAATAATATACTACAGCTTATATACCCACTGTGAATCTTAACTGTTACACTTCGAGTCTCTTGTGAGCTATATATTTTGGCCTTTGGCTAATCACATAACTATGTGTGCCTCAGTTCCTCATCCAGAAATGAGGGGTATGGCCAGATGATGTTTGAGGTACCTTCTAGCTCTAAATATATGATTATATGACTAGTCAGAGATTGTGTTGTTTGAAACTATAAAGTGTTACCTGGAGAATATTCACGTCAAAAAGATGGGCTTTGGAGGCAATAAACAGATTGAGAGAATTGAAAATCATGTGCAATTTCCCAAATGTTATCCAACTTGCCATTCTTCTCTTATTCAGTCCTAGGCTCAGTTTGTTGTTTAGCTGTAGCATCAATCAATTAATCAATCAATGAATACTTATTAAGTCCCTACTTTATGCCAGGCATCTGTATCAGGAATATAGATACAAAAGTGACAGTCCCTATCCTCAAGGAGCTCAGCATTCTACTGGACCCTTCCATCATATAGACTTCCATTGAGGGACTGATCCAATGGGCTGCACATCCACCTGCATTCAATAATCTAAATGGCATCCACTTAGTTTTCCCTGTCTAGTTAACTATCTTCATCTCCCTTGAAATATCACTGTGCTCTCAGTGATCTGGGGGGGGGGGCACAATGAAATCAATACAATTCAAATTTTCCAAATATTGCTCTAAAACATGAATCAGCACCATGCCATCTACAAATGGGAGCATCTGGAGAACCACATAAAGATTTCCTCTTCCATTTATACTTTGCAAAGGATATCCTTCATGAAGTTGTGGAGTACGCTCTCCCCTTTTATGCTTCACTTGGTATTGATACTCACAAGATCATTGAAACAAAGTTATCTCCATGGTTGCATCTATCAAGGAGTCTTCTATGATCTTTATCTATGCATTGAAAGACTTTGTTGGGGGAAAGAGGACTGGCTATTCAGAGGTGTCCCTTCTTACCAAGCAAAACCTTCTACATGCCCAAGTTACCTCATTCCATTGTGTCTTCTCTGAGAGATTGCCTCCTCTATCATCCCCACTCTCTCACCTATCTTCAATTTCTTCCTTTCTATTGGCTGTTTCCCTACTGCTTACAAACATAAAGGGGAGTGGAACTTACCTTCCCTTTCCTCAAATTACTCATTTTCCTCATCCCACCTTAGCTACATGCAGAAGTGGTCATTATCTGGAAAATGCCATCACCCATAGATGCCTTCCCTTTGAGGTTATTTCCAGTTTACTCTGGGTGTATCTTGTTTGATCCTACTTGCTTGCATGTTGTCTTTACCATAACACTCTGTGCTCATTGAGAGTGAGGACTTTTTTTTATTTCCAATGCTTACCACAGTATCTGGTGCATAGCAGGTATTTAATAAATGTTTTTGACTTGTCTCTCCAAATTCAAATGCTTTTTGTAATCAATAAATAATAGATGCAGTTGGATCTTATATTACCTATATTTGTCATTCCACAGATTATGTGACCATGAAAACATGGTCTGTTGTAGAGAATCTTCTGTGGAAGCTTACCTGCTTTGGAAAAGTTTGTCAGTTGTTAACTGATGTCATCTTAGTAACTTTAAAAAATAATAAAAACAGACAAAATTACAAAAAACCCAGGTATTTTATCTGCCTATAAAATATTCTTCAGAGGATTGAATACAATTATTAAAATCAGGATAATGACTTGTTCCAGGCTGATTTCTTTTATTAAAAAATAAAAGGAGGGAATCATATCTGGTTTTGATAGTGTTTTAAAGTTCTTAAAGCACTTTATATTGTTGTTGTCCAGTCATTTTTCAGTCATGTTCAATGCTTAGTGACCCCATTTGGGGTTTTCTTGGCAAAGATACTGGAGTAGTTTGCCATTTCCTTCTCCAGCTCATTTTACAGATGAAGAAACTGAGATAAATAGAGTAAAATGACTTGCCTAGGGTCACACAGCTATTAAGTGTCTGAGGCCAGATTTGAACTCAGGAAGATGAGCCTTCCTGACTCCGGGCCTGGGGCTCTATTCACTATGCCACCTAGGTGTTTATACATTATCTAAATTGAAATAATACCAACTGTGGTCTTTTATGTCTTTGATATTTTCACTTTGTGGTACTTGGAGGTTGATCTCCAAGGACCTTTTAAGTTGAGTTTGTCTATAGCATTTATTTTGTTTGTATTTCTTAATTCCTTTTCTTGAATGCTATTTCTACCTCCTCAGACTATAGATTGCTGAGCTGTTTGCCTGGTGGTTTCATTGTCATAGATGAAGAAAATAATATGCTGTGGAAGGCATAGTAGTTCTATCCCATTTCATATCTACTTCTTGTCTAATTTTGTCTATAAATGCTCTTAGGACCATCTGCCTTATTTGGATCCCACTTCCATGTTTCCTCATTTTCTCTTCAACTGTTTTTTTTTTTTTACTATCTTGTGAGGCAATATGGCTCATCATTATCTTCTGTCATCCTTTTCCGTAATCCTTTCCCCTCCATAATGCTTTTCATAGATGAGCTTGCATTCTAAACTAGTTTTGCCATTGGTTTCCAGGTCTCATTGTCAATGAGATCAAAGATTTGCTTGCTGAGATGGGTTCTGGACTCTTTTGGTCTTCTGTACTATTGGTGGCAATTGTTTTATATTGGTTAAATGTCTCTAAGTAATGGCACCAACTGGAGTAAAAATCCATTTTAATTTATGTCCCATATTTAAATTGAACAGCTTATTTAAATAAGTCAGGGTGAAATTGTTGTGATTGCACATAGCATCTTCTTTTTTGCTTTATTTTTCTCCTAATTTGGTGTTACTTTTTACTTTTGTTGTAATCATTTGATGATGATCTGTCTATACAAAGACAGCTGATTCTGAAATGACTCATACATTACCAACTATGCACTTTATGTCTGTGAATATATGGCCAATGCCAGCCACCACCACCCCTGCCCCCCAATAGTTTGGTGTTTGCCCTGTCCAAATTAGATATCTTAAAATACTACTTGGAACTTATCACTCTGTTGCTCAAAAACTTTTAGTAGGTTCTTATTACTTATAGGATAAAGTCCAAACTCCTTAGCCTAGCATTCAAGACCTCTGGTGCATTCTCTACCTCCCTTCTAGGATGTGAAATTCCCTATTCTGGATAAACTGATCTCCACACCCTGTTTTTTTCTGAGCATACTGTTCACAGCACCACCTCTAATCTCTGTGAAGTTTTTGCTTATGCTGGTCTCTGTTCCTAGTACCTTCTGTACTTTTTTAAAAAAATCATGTAAATCCTCATCTTCCTTAAAAGCCCAGCTCAAATACATTATTCAGTTCAGAATCTTCTCTGACCTCCCCTGTGTTTGGTGATCTTTCCGTTCTCTAAATGTCTATAACACTCATTTTGCATGTAGCATGGATTACCTTTTTATTTTTGTCCACCTTTTAATGTAAATATCCTGTTTTCTCCCTCAAAATATAAACGTTTACTAGGCACAGACTCTGTCTTATATCTCTTTGTATCTTTAGCACCTAGAATAGTATTCAATACACAACAGGCTAGCAATAGGTTTTTGATGATGGTGGTGAAGAATAATGGGTGTTCAAGAAGGACCAGCACCACTGGTTTGAGGGCTTATGGAGCCCTTTTCAGAGCTGCTCATCCACCTTTGGTGTCCGCCTGGCACTCAACTTTCACCCACAGTTCCAAGAAGTGGTAGCATAGGTAGCCACCACACTCCAGTAAAACCATCTTGGCAGACAGGCTAAACCAGTCTGGCAGTAACCAGTGGATCACAAACCCACTGGTGAGTCAGGGTTTGTCTACCATAAGGGGCTGTCTACTTCCAAGGAGAAGACTTCTCCTGGCGAAATGGGTGGATGAGAACAATTTGTTTCTATGGCCCTGAAGATGTCTGCAGCAGGCACCATGGAGAACTTAGAGCTTGGTTAGACATCGAAGATGCCAAGGTCATCCTCTGCACCCAGGCCATTGCCAGTTGTCCTGACTTTTGTCTTGCCACTGGACTTCTATGATTCTGGAAGAAAGAGTGAGGTTGACAACTTTGTGCAACTTTGCCTCACTTAAATGCAATTCAAGTCAAGGCATCACCCTATGATGTCATTGGTCCTCTTCAAAATGAAGGACAAACAACACTGCTCCTACTCAGGGGATCTGGACATGTGCCAACCCAGTCACTAACCATTAGGCTTCACTTCCAGTAATCCACAGGATTGCTCACTAGATTTTATCACTACTTTCCAGTCCTACCTACTGTCCACTGTGATTTGACTCAAATTTTATGAAAAATCAAAAGAATAATATTTACATGGACATGCAGATCTCACTCATGAACAATTGATTTTACTTCACAGTTCTGAGGGACAGAAGTACAATATTTGTGAAATAGGGCCAACAAGAATTTCTTCTCCTATTCATAAAAATTCAGCAATGTGATGGTATTATTTTAATTAAAATGTTAAAAAAGCTCCACAAAATTAGAGTACTTTTATGGATAGAAATATCATATTCAATCTAATTTAATTTAATTTCACAAATGTTTATTAAGAGCCTACTATGTTCTAGGAACTGTGCCAGGCATTGGAAGTATAATAAAAAAAATAGTCCCTGCTTTCAAGGAGATTACATTCTAAGGGAGTCTTCCTTCATGATATCATAAAACATAATTCATCCATTTGTATGCTACAACATTTAGCAAGACTTCCCATACACAAGAGTAGTTATTTTTCAAAATGTTAAGTCTGTCATCGACTCCAAAGTACTATTTGCTGTGTGCTTAACCTCCATGAAAATTCATGAACATCTATTGGCACTAAAACCAAATTGCTTTTGAAGTAATTACTTAACAGCCCTTTTACATCATGTTAGTTCAGACGCAAATTAAGCCCAATTTTAAAATCAGAATCCTGATTCAGTCCTAGATGTGGCACAGAAATTCTTGGCTCAGATACTTACTAGACTATGATCTTGGGCAAATTATTTAAGCTCTGCCTGCATCAGTTTCCTTATCTGCAAAATGAGGACAATAATAATAGCTTCTATCTCTGATAGTTGTGAGAATCAAATTATATAATATTTGTAAAACATTTTGCAAACCTCAAAGCACTATATAAATGCTAGGTGTTGTTATCATCATTATTAACAATCCTAAATGCCCTCTCACATACTTACTATTTGTGCTACGTTGGGCCAGTCATTTCTCTTTTCTAGGCCTCAGTTTCCTCTTTTGTAAAATTAGGGAGATGGGTTGAGTGGTTTCTGAGATTCCTTCCAGCTAAAGAGTTATGATCCTATGAAGCCATTCTAGGGCCTTGGGCTGCAGTAAGATGTCTTATAGTTACCATGAAAACAAAGGATATTGTGGACCAAAAAAGCAACCTCCCTGTTCCTAGTCACTGGTGCAGTCCACCCCAAGACCCCTCATTCGTTGCTTCAGTGGCTGAGAGGGCTCCATCAGCATAATTTTCCTACACATAGGCAGATAAGACAGCTGTCTTACCCTGGCAACAGATTTCTCTCTGACGTTCCCTAAAATTTTCTACTAGGACTCACTCTCCTGGTGTAGTTACAAAATCAGGGACATTTTCTTTTTCTAGGAGAATATTGTTTAAATGTAAATTTGTTACTTTCAGAGTTAAAGGTCCAGAGGTTTATTTTAGTCTTATTTGAATATTATTCATGTAATGTGGACACTGGCTGATGAATACCCAGTCCCTCAGAGCATGTACCTGCCCGCTGCCAGTCCACATGGAGGCTTGGTAAGTCAGCTTTCAGAAATTCGTGATTGAGGGGGCCCTTCCCCCAGAATATGTTCAGGTATCCTCAGCTTACTGTATGAAGGAGACAAGCCTTTTAGTTGGCTACTGAGCTGGAAGTGAGTGTACATACAAAAGACTCAAACAGATGAACTATTTCTTTTCATCGTGGACAAATAGTCCAAGAACTGCTGTGAGCCTCCTGGTTGAGGGCTCGGCAGCAGCTGTGAAGTAGCAGAGGGTGTGGAAGCCTTCTGTCAACTTCTCTAACCTGGCAACTGTGTGCCCATGGACACCATGGCACCTCTGTTTTGATTGGGTTTATTCTTTCCTGAGCTTAGCTGAGAGTCAGGGACAGAGTGGCCCATGACCTTATGAACTTCAAATGGTCAGAAGAGCCCTCAAAAGTCTCCTCAACAACTGGAACTGGTAGCAGTATTAGGCAAGTCTGGGGTAGAGTCAACCCTAAAGAGCAACCTACTCGACCCAGCCCAGAAATGAGTGAATCAACCCAGCAGCTAAAACACTGTATCCTACAAGAAAGTAGTAGAATCATCTATTGGCTTATTTCCTACAAAAAAGTAATAGAATTATTCATTAACTATGCTACACCCAGAAATGAATTTGGGGTGAAGGTGAGGAATAATATATTTCATAATCACCATTTTAAGTTAGAGTCCACTCTCTCTAGGGATCAAGGTGGTAGAAAAGAGTGTGCTCCTGGTTTTTATTACAATTTGATTCTGACTATACCTTCTTAGTAAATATCCTTTTAAAAAAGCTAATTGATGTTAACTGCTTAACTGATATTGGGGAGATATTAACTGATGATATGTATTGGGAAGAACACACTGAATATGAGCAATTGCTTTAGAACCTCTCACGTAACCCCTGACCCCATAGGTTACCCCTAGAGCCCCAAAGGGAGATGTAGCCAGCCACAATCTGAGGATTTGCCTATTAGTCAGATTGTGGATTGGAAGAGTGAACCCAGAGTCTGTGTACTACAGTTCTAATTAATTTATCTGATTTTCTGATTGTTTCCAGAAAGCACAGAAATGCCCGGTAAAGTTTAGTAGGAGAAGCAACAGAGATATACTCCATCTCTTAGCCTTGCCATTGATTAGAAAATTGTGTTCAGTTCTGGGGATTGCAATGTAAGAAAGATATGGACCAAAGGTATGTGTTGGGGGGGGAACCAGGATGTTGAAGCACCTTGAAACCACAGTATATGAAGACTGATTGAAGAAACTGGGTATTTGACCTGAAGAAGAGAAGATTGAGGAGTTACATACTATCTGTTTTTAAGTATTTGAAGGTCTCCCAGGGGGAGGAAGGACTGTATTTATTCTGTCTGGGGTCAGAGGAGCAATGAATAGAAGCTGAAAAGAGGTGTATTTAGGTTTGAAATTTAAAAAAAAAACTTTCTAATGATTAGAGCTGTCTAAAAGTGCAGAGATGGTGGCTTCCACCTCCTTGGAGGTCTTTAAGCAGAGGCTGGCCAACCACTCATCAGGTATACTTTATTAGAGATCTTTTTCAGGTGTGCCTTGGGGTACATGGTAGGTATCTTCCCAAATCTCAAAAAATCCTGCCATGGGCTGGCCTGAAAGTTCAACAATATGGGGCTGGGAGCATAGAAAGGTTAGAAGATTCCCACTCATGGAGGAGTCAGACAAACCAGGTGGACTGTGCAAAGCTGGAGATAGATAGAATACTTCACCATAGGTTGTAGGCGGCATCCAGATCAGAAATAGGAATCAGCACCAGGTTCAAACACTTCAAGGAGTAAAGAGATACAGTCAGGCTAAAGGGTTTGAAACCTGTATAACAGAATAAGTTTGAGCTTTATAAAGAATTCCCATACTAAGCAGCATTCAATTTCTTTGTACAATGCTTTATTTGATCTCACAACTCTGGTTAGAGCAAAGACCCAGGTTTGAGGATTTACAGAAAATTAGTACTTGGGAAACTAGTACAAGCATGAGCTTTATTACCACGTGGTACAGAATGCAGGCACACACACACACACACACACACACACACACACACACACAGTGGTAATATAGACAGAGATTCCACCACACATAGGGCCAGGGTCACTCATGTGAAGACAACATTCACAGTGTCAAAGATCTCAGTGGGAGTATACATAGAATAAGGTGGGAGCGGGGGAGTTTTGTACCTTAAAGAATGGACTTAGTTAAAAACAGGTAACTGTTGCCAGATGTGAAAGGGGGCATTCCTAACAGACCCAGGTATGGTGGGAAAATTCCCAGGATTGCTTATCAGTTTCAGACTCGGGTATGTGTTTTCTAATCTGAACCAAAAATTGAGCGAGGATCTTAATCTGTAATGAGTGGATTCCAAATATGGGAGTTAGCAGGAAGACTCTGTAGTCAGTCAAGAGCCTTGTCCAATCAGCTGCCCCAATCATTTATATGTTAGACACATGGTCAAAATAAATCAGGACAGTGGAAAGGTACAGCTGTCACAGCTTATGTGTTTATGGTCATCAGAACCTCGGATTAAGTTACTCCATATTAGAGTCGTATCACTTATAACAACATCTAAAACGATTTTTCAAACATCACAATTATTACAGATAATGTGTGTTGTGGGGTGTGTGTGTGTGTGTGTGTGTGTGTGTGTGTGTGAGAGAGAGAGAGAGAGAGAGAGAGAGAGAGAGAGAGAGAGAGAGAGAGAGAGAGAATTTTTATTCCTATACTCATAAGAGAACATAGTAAAGTGGAAAGACCCCTGACTAGGGTCAGAGGATCTGGTTTTGAATTCCAGCGCAGCCATTTGCTATCTTTAAGATCCCGGACAAGTTAGCTGACCTCCCTAGGCCTTATCTGTAAAATGAGGAGATTGTACTTGGGGAGCATAGCTCAAGCCTCACCTCCTTCAGGAAGTTAGTTCCTCCTCTTGTCAAAATCATCTACTTTGTATACATTTTTTGAATACTTAACTGTG